TGGTAGCCCATGCCGATCTCAAGCAGCAACAGATCACGCTTACTAAGACCGTGAACTGGAGGCACAACCCATTAACAGCTAGGCATCCAGAGCACAAATCGTTTTCACTGGACACTAGTCCGACCGTGAACTCAGAACATTGCCCGTGAACAGGACTTAGTGATGCGGCGCATTTCGACTTGAGATCACGGTCCCGGCTTTTAAATCACGGCTAAGAACTGAGACCGTGATCTGAGCCCGATCTGGGTATATAAAGGAGGTTGAGCTGAAGGGAAAAAGGGAGAGACCTAGTGTGAGAAACTTATTCTTCTTTAGATTTCTAGAGTGAGAAAATGACAAACAAAAGAAGAAGAGAAGCTATGGTTTCATCTTCAAGCAAGGATTTGGAAATTCCTCCCCAAAAGGAGGATCTCTTCAACACAAAGAGCAAGGCTAGCATCTCATTGATGGTTTTCCTTCTTCTCTCTTGTGTTTTCCCTTCTCCTAGCATGGAGTAGTCCCTTATTTCACTTGGGTGTTTGTAAACCCTAGCTACAATTTCTCTTGGCCAGTGGGGATACAGTGAGGCTGGGCCTCATTGGATGCTCAATCTGGACATGTTCAACATGTTCATATGCTGGCCAGCGATTTCTGGGGTCCCCAATCACCTCAGTGGAGGCAGCTGCTGGCAGTGGACGAGCTCATTTACCGAGAGCTTTTCGTGCATTTCTACTCCACTTTCTCCCACCTCATTCTAGGGAGTAAGAGGAGTAGACCCTACATGAAGTTCATGCTGGGAGGTCAACCGAGGGTGCTGACATACGATGGTTTTGCTCAGGCCATGGGGCTCGACCCACCCACATGACGAAGACAGACAGGCAGTACACTGCCGACTTCCACTATCAGGCAACCTTCCACGCCATCTGCCACCCCAAGCATCAGGACGACGAGTTCAAGGGCTCCATCACCAACGCCGTGAAGCTTAGGACGCCATGGAGGATACTGCACACCCTCCTTGCGAGGTCCATCATCCTTAGCCTGCTGTCAGTGCACATGATTACTAACAAAGGGTTGATATCTCTCCATTCCCTGAACCGGTCGGCAGATCCACTCCATCTAGGATCTGTGGTTGCTAACACCTTCGCCCGATACCAAGGCCGAGACCGAGTGGACACGATGCACTTGGGGGGCATCATCACCAGACTGGCCCGACACTTCGGGGTTAATGTGGCCCGGTGCTTTATCATCGGTCGGACATAGCAGTTTCCGGTGGAGACCTTATACAACATGAAGCTGGTGCTTCAAAGGGAGAGAGGAGTTGAATTCCTCGAGGGCCTTTGACCTTCGGCAGCTCTACGACCACAGGTCGACCCTGCACCAATGGATCCTGATCTAGAGGTTCCTCCCCTGGAGCAGACACCCACCATAGATCCTGGCCGCCGCCGCCGATGCACCACACCACTACCATCATCAGCTGCATCATCATCATCATCTGGGGCTGGAACTTCTACCTGCGGACCCCACCTCGAGGAGCGAGTGGATCACCTCGAGGCACATTATGTGGGAGTCACTGCTCGGCTCGACCAAACTGCCAATCTCATAGAGAGGATGGCTCGATGCCAGGGAGTCCTTTCAGACGATGAGGAATGATCTTGCCCATGACGAGGTAGCCGTCGAGGGAGACATGTGGCAGAGTTGTTCTTTCGTTCCACTTCTCCACTTGCAAACTCTGAACTCTTTTTATTTTTATTTTCTTCTTAATTAGTGTGTGAACTAGTACTTTGTGAGTTCTTTATTTTGAATCTTATTGTGAAACTTTGCTATGTGTAATAACCTCTCCTCGAGCAAGAATGTGTGTGTGTTTGTGTTTTGTTTTTCCTTTGAAGCTCAAACATCCTACCTCGGGCAATTCTCCAACTTTCATTCACCAAGCCATGCGGTAACATCGTTCTACCCCCTATTTTACGCCATTGAGGGCAATGTCGAGCTTAAGTGTTTGTGTGTGTTTGGAGGGGGGGGGGGGTAGTTTAATTATTATGCTTGTGTGTGTGATTGAATGCTTGGAGCCTTGATGTATGCCCAAATTTGAAAAATTTGAGGGCTCCAAGCTATGCATGATCAAAATGGCCGGTTGGTGGGTGAATTTCGTGCTTATTTGGCATCGATCTTGTATTGTTGCATGTAATTGAGTGCATCCTATTATGATGACTGAGAATGCATTAGGGTTGTGCAAAAGCTTAGTTCTCATGTGTGCTTAAATGAATGGATGTCTTGGCTTGGCTACTCCTTGATTACAATTGCCATGCATTGAAGTTTTTGAAATTGGAATAGATGATTGGGTGGCTAGGTAGCCATGCGAATTTTGTGCCAATCGTCTTTTTCATGTGGGATGGATCCCTCTCGCCATGGTGTGTAGCTTTCACCGTTGTCACTAGTGAGTATGATGGAGGCATAGGATTAGTCCACGCCCAAAATTTGATTGTCCCAAAACATTTTATCCCCTAGTCAACCCCTTTAAGCGTCGTTCTAATGCTAGGAGCTTCGTGCTTCTTGAGCTTAATGGTGATTGAAAGAACGACCCCACCCATCCTTCCTTCGTGTCAAAGTGTAAGTCATCCTTGTGTCTCAGAGTTCTCACTTTTGAGCTCCATTGAGGTTCTGCATAGGAGGTTTAGCACGGTTCTTGCTAGAAATAATAAGTTAGTGTTGGAGAAAAGTTCTTGATGGAGAGCAGTGTTCATTTAAGGATAGGTGGCATGCGTTGCACTCTCTAGTAACCCCCTCGAAAAAAAAATAAGAAAAATAAAGAAAAAGAAAAAAGAAGGGAAATAAATAAAAAGAGGTAATAAAACGAGGTAAATAAAAGTAGAGAGTGGCCACAAAAGTCTAAGTGTATACTCTATAAAGGGTTTCTTGGCACTCAAGCCATTGAAACACCTAAATTGTTTGATGACCTCCTTCACTAGTAGGTTTGAAATGTGAATAGCAAGATAAGCCGAAGAAGTGTGCTTGAATGTAGTTCGAGATTGGTAGTTGTTTGGAAGAAGGGAAGCGTGGTTTTTGGCCAATGCTAATGGCCTTTGTTTGTAGGAAAGGTTCTTAGTCGAGACCATAGAACCTTGGGTTTTAGTTTGAAGATGTAGGACCTCATGCCATGTTCGCCACCACCCAAAAAGCCTTTTCCCCATGTCCAAGACAATTGCCAGACATTTGAACCCGTGTCTAAGATCTCCGAACAAGCTAGTGATGACAACCGTCCCGCGAACTCTAGCATTTAGAGGTTTCCTCCGTGGTGGAGAGATGATAGGGCTGAGTGTTGATGATTGTGCACAATTTTTGCACCAAAACGGTCCTGACCCCACTAGTCAAGAGTGAGTGATTCATTCTTGTTCTGCATATTTATATCCTACCCTGATGAGGACATATGTTGCCCTATTGTCTGTTCCTTGGAATTGAGTTCTATGTATGGTTAGTTGTGTTTGGTGAGTAGTCCGGTTGAGACTTACATTGATTTGTGAACAGGGTGAGAACTTTATATTTACCCATTCTTGATGCAATCGAAAGTCATTGAGGTTCACCGCTTTGTGAATTTTGATTTGTCCCCAATTAATCTTGTTAGGTTGAGATATCACCTAGAGTGAAAATGGTTTGCTTGGGGACAAGCAAACGTCTAAGTGCGGAGGACTGATTTGGGTTAATTTGTACACTTTTTGAAACGCCCTAACCCGGCTGGTTACTACTTTTACTAAAATGGCCTTGATAAATAAAATACTCAAATCTTAAATTGCAACTGGGAAAAATTTTCATAAACAAAATACTGAAAACACACACTTTTACTAGCAAAGCCCTAACATGTGGGCAAATTTAAACTCTAACTTTAAATTCTCAATCTGATCTCCAGTTTATACTCATAATCATAACTGTAAATAACTAATCATCTCTAATGTTGTTGCTACTGAAACCTTGACTAAGCATCCTCTGTGACGCTTACACTGCCCTCCTCTAGCTGCCTGTCCTAGAAATTCGCTGCTCACTAAATGCTCCTCTAGCTCTTCCTCTAGCTCTTCAAACTGGTGAGTGAGATGGGGTCAGTCTACGCCCTTATATTTTAACATCTTATTAAAACTTGAGCACTTTACTTAACCTTGTGGAAGTTGTTTTGTACTTCCACTATTAAAAAGCTTAACTCTTAAAACTGTAAGGGAGTTACTGTTACTCCATTCTTAAATCTCAAAGCTTGACTTAAATACTTGACTGACACGGGGATCCCTCACTAGCTAGTCCGGTTACCAACTCATATGTATGAGAAGCCATCCAGGCTTTCCTTAAACTTAAACTTAGTTAAGGAAGTCGTAACGATTCATCCCCCTAACATCTTAAACTTATCGTGGTGGCTCTTCACCACGATTCTCAAGAGCATAACTGTTGCTCATCTTAAAAGTCTCAAGAGCATAACTGCTGCTCTATCTCAAAATGTCTCAAAAGGCAACGGACTAGCGCTAGTGACTAAAAACACTTAAAACGACTTCACCTTCTTGAAGGTGAGCTACTTCTTTGAACAGAACTTGTTTCTTAACTTTAACAATAACTTATAGACAGGAAGCTTTAAATTAACTAAGAACTCATGCACATTCACATCAGGCATAGCTCATACAAAATCACCTCAAATTATAGCTCAAGCAAAGCACAAATAATCAAACATAACCATGTAATATCAACCATGAATCAAATACGGCACGCACATCACGTAAATCAACACTTAAAAATACTCGAAGCAAATACTAGAAAAACTGTAAGGCGTAGAATTTACCCCCTTTACACTCACCTTGATATCGTGTCAATTAACTCGAACCAACCACCATGAAAAGTGTCGATCACCTTGAGTTCATCCCAATCTGCGTATTTATCATTCCAGCATCATCCAGAACAATTAAAAAATTCTTCCCCTTTAATCTCCCCTTCAGCTCCAACTGAAGCAGATTGAAATTACCATCAAAAGCGCCTCCGCTGCGTATTCGAGCCTAGAGGTCTGGTTGAAGATAGGGAATTACAATTTCCTCAGCAATGAAGAGCTTTTCAAGTTCTAGAGCCTTCAGGACTTCCGGTATCGTCGGGAACTGGGAATCGGGTCTCTTTGCATTGGGGTGATGAGGCTGGACGAGACCGATGTCACTGTCAAGTTGCTCTCCGCGTCCTTTGTGGAGTCCATGAAGCTGCCAGATTGGTACTTGCCTTTGGTGAGCTACTCGGTGAAACAGTACTTGTTTGAGAGGCGAGCCGCTATTCCCCATGTCGTTACACTTCTAGGGTTCGTTAAATGGAAAGATGGCGCTTTGCTTTGATTTCCCGAGAGCAGTTGCTTTCGGTGGAGAATTAATGCGAGGGTTTTATGGTGAGGCCGAGTGGGTTAGGTAAGGGTTCTAGGGTTTTAATTATTCAGGGTATTTTTTTTAGTAATAATAATAATAAAAATTATGTTATTATTATTATTATTCCTAGCCCGCGACTGTAATCCTTCGTACGTAACCGTTAACCCAACCGTTCACATATTTTGGTCGAACCTGAACCCAAAATTCGGGATGTTACATTTCCTCCACCCTTATAAAAATTTCGTCGCCGAAATTTGCTTGAAACTCATTGCTCATTCTACACCATCTTTGTACTTCCTTGCCTCAAGAATTTACTCTAGCTAAATGTACTTCGATGATGTCCGTTGCTAGTCCGATGTCGTTTGCATCGGGCAGCTTTGGGTGACTCATTGCCCTTTTCAAAATTTTCCAACTTGGGCCCAAGGTGCGATGGGACAAAATTTCGACTCAATTTATTTGATCCAACTGATTCAGTTCTTGATGTTGAACCTAAATCGAAGTCGAGGTATCACATTTCCTCTCCACTTATAGAAATTTCGCCCTCGAAATTTGTCCACTGTGATTAACCTAAGCATCGCTTGTGGTACTCCTTTTCACTTGGAGGGTTTGTATTTCCTTTAACTTATATGACATGACCTAAAATCCTTATCTCCATTCACTGCAACTTCAATGTGGTTGTGGCTTCTTAACCCCTCACATTACCTAGGTTGCACCTTGTACACATATGGTGGCTTATCCTCTATCCCATCAGATGGTAAAATTCCTTTAACGTAACTCTCGTCCGGAGTTGACCTCATAGGTCACCTAGATCCTTGTATCTCCTAACTCTACATCTCTTACTTTCTTCCTCACTGCCTCGTCTTATCCCTTAACCATAAACTGAATGGTCACCGCCTCGATACTTGGTTGCTTAGCACCAAAACCTCATACTACTGGTTTTTTTTTTACCTTCTGTAGGCATTAGAGACATCCTTTGTATCTTTCTCTAGCTTGCGATTAACTTTGTGACTCCTTTCCAGCATCATGACCTTCCATTTTGAGTACTTTTCCACTCATGGCGCCTAACTTAACACTTCCTTATCACCGTTTGACTTGGGAGTTCTCGTACGATCTCTTCTATTGTTCTTTGACCTTTCCTGAAATTCCTCGTACAATTTCCCCATCCAAGAAATTTTCACCCGAGAGATCGCCACATTTCACCCTCATAGGTGGTATTACTTTCACTTTAGGGTATTCTAGCAGGTTCGCTAAACTCATATCCATCTTACTTCTTTACCCGTGACTCCTCTTACCGATGTTTCTCGCTAGTTCTATATGTCCCTCGTCCTTGATGTAGTCATCTTGGTGCCCATATTCTCTTCTCACTTATGTACCTTGACCGATAAGGTTTTCCCTTCGACCGTTCTGGACCACCACACTTCTACTTTAAAGTTGACCATTGAGCTGCTCAGTTCTTATGGGCTTCCTATGGTCCAACTCATTCTCCACTGGCAATCACCTTAACGCCTCCTTGTTGACCTTCGTATTCTTTCGTCGGCTCTTCCTAACTATCTTTCTCCCTGAATTTGTCGTTTTATCAACGACCACCCTTTTCATCATAACTTTCATTATAGCCTTGTGATTTCCTCTTTACTTCCACAACTCCTTCATCGATGCTTGGTACTAGCTTTGATCTACTAAGTTTAGTAGCTCCTCGCCATACCTCAGAGCCAACATTTCCACTAGAAACTTTCTCTAGGTAGACTTGACAGATGACACCCACGACTTCTACTCACGATGGTGCTTGACCACGTCCCAACTATCTTCCTTCACGCATTCATTGTCCGGTCGGCAACCACTTTTTTTATTTTTTTTATTTTAATCCTTATAGAGCTCTATGGTGTTCTCCTTGCTTCTTTACTTTTACTACCCTTCTGTTGATACTTTGTACTATTTTCGGTCACCCAAACTCTGTTGAGTATCTTCTCGTTGTTGTTTTGGGTCAAAGCTTCCAATAGTGGCTTGCCCTTGGTATCTTGAACATACCTCATCCACGTCTTTTGTCTCGACCGATGCTTGTACATAGCCTTAATCTCTTAGTCATGGCTCTTAGTTGCTTAATTAAATGTGCATGTTTCATCCTTAACTAGTTGTCTCCTCTGGATCCCTCCTACCATGCCGCTCCCACTCAAAGTGGGGCACCTTGGATAAGGTAACTTCTCCTTTTCCTCCTTCTCGGTAGTGCTTTCCCCCATCGTGCCTCTTTGTGCAGCTTCTTGACCTCGAGTCTCCTGAGACTTGACCCATTGACTTCTTGAAATCTCGTCAAACTCCCTCTGGCCTTTTTGCTCTTCCTTGGTATTGTTCGCAAACTCTCTTCATTACGACCGTTTAGACTCCTCCTCGAATTCTCCAACTTTCATTAGAACTTCTAATGAACATTGTACTTGCTTGTCTATACCCTGTTGATTGAATGATTTACTCCTACGGCTGGTTCCGAGACCTCAGCTCTCAGCCATCTAGTTCCAACTTAGTAGAGAGGTTCCTCCTTCTGTCACCCCTCATGTACCCTAGGCGGCTAGGTGATCCCTCCATTTAGGATAGGACAATCCCATAACAGATCATCGTGAACTCTTGCATTCCCCTTTCAACTATCCCAACGACCTCCTGACCTTTCATGATCTGGGTAGTTTGTAGGGTCTCTAATATCCTCTTTCTAGCCCCGTGTTGACTTAGTATTCAACTCAGGCATTGCTGAGGATTGGTTCTCTATTCATACTGCCATTTGCTAGCTAACTGTCATTCCCTCTCACATTCCATATCTTTTCTTACTTATTGACTCCCCGTTGTCTTCTACATGGCATGCTTTAGACTTTGGTGGCACTTTCCTCCACGTCTTGTCCAATGGTGGTCGTACTAAAACCATAACTTGTCATCTACATCATTTACCTCGTTGCTTGTCTTGTTCCTTTTAAAGGTTTGCTATCAGCCTAACTACCCAGGGTCATGTACCCTCTTCCCTAGTAACGTAATATCCATTAGGGTTCCTTTCTCGTCATATGTAAATGATTATGCCTCCTCTCCACCTTGAACTTTTGACTCTTTGACGTCCTTTCAGACCCCCTCTAACCTACTTACTTCCTCATTTACCTCATTTACACTACCCTAGCTTCTCTTGAAGTCTAAGCTTTCCACTGCTCCTTGTCACTGTGTTGTAATAGCGTTGACCACTAAAACTAGTTGAGGGACTTCTCGTGGTACCTCTTTGTTTCTTGGCTCGTTGCTTCCTCGCCACTGCTTAGGGTCAAGGACCCTAAAATCCTCCCATCATTATTAGCTACTGACATCTAGTGACTGTAGCTCTTTCTTCGAAGATTCATAGTTCTCCTATTTGTTTGCTTTTGCTTATTAGATCCTCTCATTGCTGCCTAGTAGTAGAATCCACGTGCTACTCCTTCAACTCCTTCAAAATCCTAGAGGTATTCCCTTACGATTGGAACCTCTTCTATTAGAACTTTAGTTATTTACCTTAATACGATTAGAGTAGACTAGAGATTCTATAAACTCTTAAAGGAAGATCCTTGACTCGTTTTCCTTTCCTTTAAAACAAAAACCTTTAAAACTGAGACCGATATTCCAGTATTCCTTGGAGACCAAGGAACAGAGGAAGACCGGCTCTGATACCAAAATGAAACGCCCTAACCCGGCTGGTTACTACTTTTACTAAAATGGCCTTGATAAATAAAATACTCAAATCTTAAATTGCAACTGGGAAAAATTTTCATAAACAAAATACTGAAAACACACACTTTTACTAGCAAAGCCCTAACATGTGGGCAAATTTAAACTCTAACTTTAAATTCTCAATCTGATCTCCAGTTTATACTCATAATCATAACTGTAAATAACTAATCATCTCTAATGTTGTTGCTACTGAAACCTTGACTAAGCATCCTCTGTGACGCTTACACTGCCCTCCTCTAGCTGCCTGTCCTAGAAATTCGCTGCTCACTAAATGCTCCTCTAGCTCTTCCTCTAGCTCTTCAAACTGGTGAGTGAGATGGGGTCAGTCTACGCCCTTATATTTTAACATCTTATTAAAACTTGAGCACTTTACTTAACCTTGTGGAAGTTGTTTTGTACTTCCACTATTAAAAAGCTTAACTCTTAAAACTGTAAGGGAGTTACTGTTACTCCATTCTTAAATCTCAAAGCTTGACTTAAATACTTGACTGACACGGGGATCCCTCACTAGCTAGTCCGGTTACCAACTCATATGTATGAGAAGCCATCCAGGCTTTCCTTAAACTTAAACTTAGTTAAGGAAGTCGTAACGATTCATCCCCCTAACATCTTAAACTTATCGTGGTGGCTCTTCACCACGATTCTCAAGAGCATAACTGTTGCTCATCTTAAAAGTCTCAAGAGCATAACTGCTGCTCTATCTCAAAATGTCTCAAAAGGCAACGGACTAGCGCTAGTGACTAAAAACACTTAAAACGACTTCACCTTCTTGAAGGTGAGCTACTTCTTTGAACAGAACTTGTTTCTTAACTTTAACAATAACTTATAGACGGGAAGCTTTAAATTAACTAAGAACTCATGCACATTCACATCAGGCATAGCTCATACAAAATCACCTCAAATTATAGCTCAAGCAAAGCACAAATAATCAAACATAACCATGTAATATCAACCATGAATCAAATACGGCACGCACATCACGTAAATCAACACTTAAAAATACTCGAAGCAAATACTAGAAAAACTGTAAGGCGTAGAATTTACCCCCTTTACACTCACCTTGATATCGTGTCAATTAACTCGAACCAACCACCATGAAAAGTGTCGATCACCTTGAGTTCATCCCAATCTGCGTATTTATCATTCCAGCATCATCCAGAACAATTAAAAAATTCTTCCCCTTTAATCTCCCCTTCAGC